TTAAGGGGGGGGGGGGGGTAGGGCTACTCAGAGTCATCGAGGATCATAATTACTGTAGACTGCCTTGACAAGGGGCTACAACAGCACCCATGCATGTATTTCATCGACGAGGAAAACATTAAGAAATGAGGTCGACATGGAGGTAGCTATGAACAAAGTCAGTTCGTAACGAACACGGATTAAACAAGCTCGGCGGGACACAAGAGAGTTGGGCAAGGCGAGGAAGCGTGCCACAAATCGCTGCTCCGACTAGAACAGATCACGTAAAATACCTTACAAAAGAGCCAGAGCTATGATACGACAAGAAGGGTTTTGGAGTTCCGGGAAAAATTAACACCTGTCATACTGTGGTACTGTGCAACACAGGACAAAAAAGAAAAGTCCGATCATAAACAAGACTTGACAAAATAAAGGTCCTAACTCCCCCACGTTTGCCGAGGAGAGATGATTGATTCCCTCTTGTCACACTCTATAAAATGCATCTTCTCTCTCAATGACCCAAACCTAGCAAACGATACGACTTCATCGACCGAACCACCCCCCCCCCGCCCCCTCCCCTCACCCGGAAAAAGCTCTCCGTGATAGGAAACCTGGAGAGAATCAGCAGCCCCGTCCCCCCCATCCCGGGTCCTAGCAAGGGGGCCCCGCAGCCGTGCTCGAAGTGGCGGCTATACCTCAGGCCGGCCGCAAGAGCCGCTCGCCTCAAGGCGTCTCGCTCTCGCGCATGCCACACCTCTTGCAGGGCGATCACATCCCATCCCCTGCAGCGTGTTCGGGCGGGAGGGGAGATACGGGCATGTGTTGATGAGGAGGGGGGGGGTGCACCTGTGTGCGAGGTCATGAGGACGGCAGGTACTTTACTATTATTATATGATATAATTTCACAGGCGCAGAGAACAAGCAACATCGCACACAACTACCATGCACGAGAAGACAGCAAACACCTCACAACCCGGAAGCAATTGGCGGAAACATGCTGTACCGCCGACCTACCGTCCTCGGCTCTAGTGGGGCAAGCCATCCATCTCCCCAAGAAGATGGAATGTCTCGTCACCAGCACCATACCCCCACAAGACAAATCGCTTCTTGTGCCCGAAACCGACCATACACACGCATACCCTGACACTACACGCCCTACTCTACTCTACCACTACTGCTGTGTGGGGCACTCACCCCCCCAAGGTCTTCGCGAAAGCGTGCACTCGAGCCTCGAGGCAGCGGCTTATCACAGGGATCCCCCACAAGTTCTGGGTCAGGACACGAAGCTTGAACCCCGCCCAGTGCTGATTGCTGCGATTACCCGGGAGACAACACACAGCAGTCAGTGTTTTAGCAGTTAAGGGAAGGCGCGGTGCTGTTGGAAGCAGCACAGTCGATGATGACCTAAAACCGCCTACGCGCGAAGAGCTGAATCCTTTAGCTTGCTCTTGCTATCGGCGACAACCACCAGAGCAATGGTTGACACAGTAAACTTCAGCCCCAGGGGAGGCAGCAGCGCAGAAACACAAACACGAGACAGGCAAAACGCCCCCTGGGTTTCCATTTGAAACGGGCCACGGCTTTATAGGATCAAGCGGGCGGGCATGGACAACTTCCAGCCTAGCCAGTCGAATGCACCATACGCTGCTGTCAGGGAAGAAATCATCCGCTCAACTCCTGGGGAAAAACCAACACATCAATAACACCCCCAGCCCTCCTGGGAAACAACCAAAACATCAAAAACAACCCCCACGAGCAAGGCCCGCAAACCCACCACCACCAGCTAGCTACAGTAGCTCCTTCGTCCTCACCTCTCCGAAATGGCCCTCACGTCCGCCTCCGTCCCGTAGGCGTCTTTGGTATTCCCGGCACCGTACCCCCACAAGTCCATCCGCAGACGGGCCAGGCGCGATACCCTTCCCGGCCCCTCTTCTCCCGCATAGGGGTCTGCTCTGCTAAGGGGGGGGGGTTCCGTGGGTGCGAAGTGGGGGGCGGGGGGTGCAGCTGTCAGCGGGGTGACGTGGGTAGCAACTGGCTTGGTCTGTGCCGGTGCATGACAAACAAGTAGTGGTACATGACTGCATCTCTCGGCGATAGCAAGCCCTGTGTCTGCCAACAAAGAAACGTGTCTCTCTCCGACTCTTCAGCGACAACAACCCCAAAACCGTTTTCGTCTGCAAGATGCAAAATGAACACGCGATGCAGTGCCGTCCATCTCTTGCCACGGGCGACAGGAACACTGCTGCCGCCCACGGCAAACACACCATACCAGCCTTTGTCGGAACGCCGGACTTACTATTTTAGAGTCGGGCGAGGACACTAAATAAAGACACGCAAAGGGTGCGACGCGCCATCACTCCCACGATGGTCGAGGGGGTGGGTCCCCTTCTTCTCACCGGGGCCCCCTCGAGTCTCCCGCCCGGGGTCGCCGCCGCGGCCGCCGCCCTATCATGTCCCACCACCCCCACCCGTTGAGAAGAGAGCCTCCTCGAGATCTCGCCCTCGCCCCCGACCTTGACGCCGCCTCTAGCCTCGGCAGTCCCGTCCCGGCTACGTGGCAACCAGTGTCGGTGGTCTCGAATACAGGGTTGTTCGGGTCGTGCATGTGGGCCGCGCGCGAGGGGGGGTCGACTCAGTCTCTTTTCTCTGTCTCTGTCTCTATCTTGGTCTCTTTGTGCTTCCGTTCTCGTCGGCGTGGCGTGGGTCAGTGGGAACCTATTTGTCGTGCAAGGCATCAAGGGGGACGAAGAAGGGAGAACAGAATCATGCAGCCAGAGAAACACAGAGACACAGATAAGAGAGAGAGAGAGAGAGAGAGAGGGAGAGAGACAGAAAAAAATCGTTTTATAGCGGTCGTTCGAGAAAGGGTTCCTGAAACATGACTAATTCTTCTCTGCTCAAGCCTCGCTGTCCACTCCCCCCGCTCAAAACCTCGCTGCCCACTCCCCCGAAAAACTGTAACATCATACTGCTGTGGCTTCATGTGTCGCGCAGTATCGTCCGCCTTTGGAGCCAGCACAAGCACCTAAACGTCTGTTTCGCAAAGGACACGTTGCTGGCGGCTCTCGAACGTTGATTTCTTCCACGCTTTTCTGTACCATATCTTTGAAGCACCAGCCGGGGTTACGCACGAGGAAGGTCAGCCAACACTTGTTTCTCTTTGTCCTTTTCCACACTTCGTTTTTTTTTTCCTTTTTCGAGTTTGTCTCCGCCTTTCCCCCGCGGTCCCGCGATGCTTGCCTTCAATTTTGAACGCCAGAAAAGGGTTGAGCAATTCCTAGCTTATTTTTCGTCATTTTCCCGCGACTCTGTGGATATGAAGCAATCACCTGGGAAACTAAAAACGCTTGCCGCCATTCTGCCATGACAGCAGTAGTAGTATAATAGCAGCCCATGCTTCGAGCGAGGCAAGTCGGCCTAGCCAGGGAAGAATAAACGTTGTCACTCTGCTGCATCCATGTGTTGCGCTCAGCTCGGTGTTAGTCTCAGCGACGGTACAGTAACCAGCACCTGCGACGGGCGTACAATACCCGTTTTTCCAAAGCATGGTTTTTGATGCATCGTGTTGCGCGGTGTCGCGCGAGAGGGGACACGTTGTGTGCGTGCGGCAGCAAATATCTACTTCATACTACTGCAGGCTAACAACTTGCGGTTTTGGGGACATCTGAGCTGGCTCTACCTGTAGAGCCCCACATACTTGTTTGGGACCCTGTGGGTTGTAGGGGATAAACTCCAGCTCGTTTCGAATATTATGTCTCGTGGCTACACTGCTATCGCTACGCCGGGGGCAAACGCAAGTACATACGGTACCGCTTTACTGAAGGCCGTCGTCCTGTTTCTCCGTTCATTTAACTTTAACCCTCCTGTATAGTACCCAGTTTCAGAAAGTAAATAATACTCCGGAGTACCCAGTTAGCGACAGGTTATGGGTCCAGAAACAATCGCGTCCGCTCACTGTACGGCTGCATGACATGGTCACCACTCAGCGGCCACTATCAGACGCTGCGGTCGACACACCACCGACTGCTCCTTCGAGTTATCGGGTACAAGCGCAAGAAAGACACCTACCGGCAGCTCTCGTACGCCCAGACGCTGAAGAGGGTCGAATGCCAGAGCGTTGAAGCCACGATCCGACAACGACGCCTACTGTTCGCGGGAGCACTGGCAAGGCAGCCGGACGGGCGACTCCCGAAACGACTGATGCTCGGCGAGCTGGCGGGGGGGGAGAAGCCACGTAGGGGGGGACAGGAACAGAACTGGCCGAAGTGTGTGCTCGACGACCTGAAGGCCTTCGGGGCCGACCACGGATCTACGAAAACCGACCCAAGTTGTCTCGGAATTCCCGTACCGAAAGACACGGCACCGAAGTCAAGGTGGACGGAAGCCGCGAAGGTGGAGGGGGGAGTACCCTGGCATGCGGCGGTGCTGCAGGGAGCTGAGAGGTTCATGACCTCCTGGCACGAGAAGGAAGAAGAGGCCAGCCGACAACGAGCGCTCAAACGAAACCACAAGCCAACAACCAATGGGGCGGGAGGGGGGCAGGAGACGGACGAGACGGCGAGGGAAGAAAGCAAACGAGAAGAGACGGACCGAGTGGCACGACACGTGCCGGATTGAATTTTTTTTCGCCAATTCCCCCCCCCCCAACGCTGCACCATTGCACCAACCCCCCAGTAGTAGTGATTTCGTACCACTACAATGTATCGCTGGTTGGTGGCCATGTTTGCGTGTTTGCTTGTTCGTTAGTGGTCTCTCCACCGTGTGCCTTGTTCTGCCTCATACTTCCTGTTATTTTCGGCCTGGTCCCTCTTTGTCCTCGCCCTTTTTTTTCTTTTTTTTTTTTTTTTTTTTTTTTTTCATTTTTTCATTTTATTTTCATTTATTTTCTCTTCTCCTTACGGTTTCCATTTTTATTTTTTCTCCTTTTTTTTCTCTTTGTCCTTTTTTTCTCTCTTTTTTCTCTCTTTTTCTGTGCCAGATGGACTTGTCTCTGCTTGCGTTGTGAAGTACCAAGATTGAACCAAGGGAGTGTGCCTCTTTCTCTCCGGCCCATGATAGATAGTGACTGCTAATCTCAGTTGATACCCCGCATAGCGTGAAGAGGGAGCGGAGGATCCCAGAATATCTGTCGTTGATTTCTATTGACTTGCGGACCCCTCGGGGCCAGTTTATTTGAGTGTACCTTTTTAGGGTAAGTTAACCTGTGACCACGGGAATCGACCGCGTCGAGTGTTGGATCAGTACGGACATACGAAGGTACTGGGTAGAGAGAGATCGGAACGGTTTTTAATGTGAAGACAACAACAATTGGGAGAGGCCGTACAGCAGTCCCGAGGGTCGAAGGCTGACTTGGCTTCAGTATGGAAAGTAGGGAAAATTTCTATACTCAAGCCAAGTCAACATGTTTTTCAGTGCGAATCTGTAGGCTATGGACAGCAGTTTTACCAACAAGGGGACCCGCGGCTTGGGAGATTGTGTCCCAGCAAGTCAGAGGCCCAGGAGCCCAGGAGAGGCGCACAAGCAGGCTAGAGCAAGGTTTCAAGGTTTCCAACGCGCGTTTCACGCAGCGGAGCATACATACCATAATAGTCACGACCACGGTGCGGTCAACAGATATTTGAGTGCTGTGTCCCCAAAGTGTCCCCCACTTAGGCTTAAGTATGTACTATCATAGGAGGGTTAAAGCAGTCGGAACAGCAACAGGTTCACCAACTCTCATCGAACGTTAGCGGGAGGCGGAGCACAACTGCGTGCCGCGCCCCAGGCGACGAACGAATGGTTGGATGTCGATCGGTGAGTTCGTCGCTGAGCCTACCACCGACCTAGAATATCTATTGCGAAACTTCAGAAAAACAACAAGCTAGATACTTTAGTCGCGCGTGCCTCTCGTCTGATTACCGCAGCGATGGCCTGCGCAGGTGTGACCACCGCATATCCGAGGGCCTGGGGTAAATGTCCGAAGCTCTACACGTAGACAACCATTAATTTCTCCGAACAACGTACGCCACAATGAACGACTAACCTGCTGTACTCCATGCTTCCCCCGGGGCCGTCAGCACTCCGACAAAAAAAGCGCTTGCCACTGCTGGTACCGGCCAGAACATCAACTATCATCACTATCATCAACCATGTGACGCTCTGTCTGCTGGTTTAAACTCTAGAATATCATACGTTTCGTTTGTACGAAGAGGTCGAATCACAGCAGGTTCGATAAAATCGACTTTTTCAGGCGCACAGAACCTGCAAGATGAGTTCCTTAGTTCCTTGTTTGAACCGGGCACAAGGTACTCACTCGCTGATCGGTAGAGAACGTCCACGCCGAAGAGAGCGTGGTGTTCCAGGCCCGTGGTTGATGGGCAGTGGGCGTCGGACACCATCTTTTGTCATGTCGAGGCTCCGCAGAAAGTGGGAACCTCCCCACGGGGCAATCCGCGGAGCCCCCTGGGTGCAGCTGCCTGTGCTGGCTCGCACGTGCTTGGGCACAGCCACAGCCAAGCCCAGCTTGGTAGCTTGGCAGCACACGATACTAGCGCTCACGCGGTAACCGGGTGTCATCTGGCACAGGAGATATCCTGTCGCAGAGGTTCCTCACTGAAATGAGGCGCGGAACTGGGTTGGTCTTGGTTGCAACGCTGGGGTCGCTAAGGGAGGCGACCAGCTTTACCATGTTGTCCGGTCTGAGAAGGACCGGTGCAAGGCGCGGGATGATGGCCTTCCTTGGCTCGACGGGGGTGCCGTCCTCGTCCAGCACGCCGAAGGCTTCGTCTCGGTGGGTAAGCACGGCGGTGATGTCGGCATCGGCTCAGAGCGTTGTGTCCGACGGGCCTTCGCTCTCCGTCAGCAAGAGAAAGGAGTCAGTGGCACACGACGCCTATGACGTCGTTGAGGAGGACTTCGTAGCGGAGTACGGGGCCACCACCACGCTCTACAAGCACAAGAAGTCCGGGGCGGAGGTGCTGAGCGTCCAGATCGACGACGACAACAAGGTGCGGCATTCTTTGCTCTTTCGGTGGCCATTGGGCTTTTTGTCGTGTCGTGTTTCGTGTTTCGTCTGCTTGGAATGACGAAAACGGGGAATGACGCGGTGATCTGTGACGAGACTGCTGCCAGAACACTGGCGCAATCTGCGCTATACACGCAGTTGGAAAGCCCATGCCCTCAATTAGCCAAAATTAGCCAACCAAGCGCCGCTCCCAAATAATTAACTGTATGCGTAGTGGTAGCTTTGTTGGCAACAGCTTCGCCTCCAAGGCAACGCGTCGCTCTTGTTGCTGCTGCGGGGCGAAGGATTCTCGGTCCACAACAAGCGGCATGTATCATGCGACCTGCTGTTCAACAGCAGCGGTGGAAATCAAGTTGACGAGGAATTTGTTCCGCTGTCGAGGCTCGCTCGTGACACGAAGACAGGAACTATACCATGTTGCGAAGCGACACAACTGGTTTGACCACAACCGTAAAGGTACAGTTGAATGTAGGTTCAGAATCCCCCCAAAGCTCCTCCCCTTTACCTGGCAGGCTTGCTAAGGGCCGGTCATGCTACGATTCAAGTACAACAGCGCAACAGCGAGCTCCAATTTCCATTTCCACGAGAATACTCCGCCTCGGTCATACTTTGAAATCGCGCCGCTAGTGTCAGCATCCTCCCATCCGTGTCTACAAGATTCGGAAAAAAATGGAGGGCACCTATGCTATCTTCCAGCAGCTCGGGAACGTCAAGAATAACCAGCACCCCCTTTCAGCTGTGTAACAATGGGTGTGCCTTTCTCCCTGGTGTCGTGTCATACCAAGCATCTCTTGTGTGTTTTAGGCGACTTCAATGACTTCAATCCCCCGCTTACTGACATGGACGAGGAGGAGCAGTTCAACATCCCCACCGCAGCCTGTGGAATGAGGTTTGATATTGACCAATAGAGCC